TACCATAACAACGACCACTGTCAGAGATGTAAAGAAAGTTACACCCTGAACAGCAATCACTGTTCTTGGTGGGCTAACCTTCCAAGGGGGGACAGAAAACGTAGACGTCAGAGGAAAAAATTTAAAGAAACAAGAAACCATACTAACTGACGAAACAGGCTTGATACGTTTAGTTCTTTGGGAAAATGATATCCAGAAAGCTCAGTCAGGGGAGACATAAATGCTGAAAAGATCAGTTGTGCGCGAATTTGACAACCAACCTTACATTACCATAAACAAGGAAACCCAAATTTCTAAAGTTAGCCAAACCATTGCAAATCCTGATGATGATCTCGCCAATACCTATAAGGAATTAACTATTTCTTGTCCTCCAGAAGGGATTTTGGCAATACACAGATCGTTATCTTGCAAAACATGTGCGAACTCGATGGTTCTGCACAATGTCGGGAAGACAATAAAATGTAGTGTGTGTGGCCTTGTTCAGTTATCACATCTCTGTCAAAAAAAGGTCCATGCCAATGCTTTCTTTATCAATGAACAGGGCCAAAAGATATCTTTGTTGATGAAACAACATATTATACAAGCATTGCTTGACATCTATCAAAGTGAAAGCCATAGCAACGTGGCTAGTTTAGATGAAATGGGAGATAACGAACTGCAAGAAATTCTTCTAACCGTCGAAGCAAACATCACCTACAATAAAAATATCGCAACTAACGTGAAAAAGAACTTAAACATTGCAAACTGAGAAAGAATTACCAGCCAAATTCACATGAACACTGTACATCGGACATAAATACTGCATATGTTATTGTACTAAGATACACTGTAAGATGCTCTTTTTTAGTTTATATTATGTCTAAATTGTTTTGTTAACATTGTATATCGAACAGCTACGGTTATTCCATGTACTGTATGAGGTGTACATTTATAATATATAGTTTACTCTGTTTAAATTAATTTGTTCAAGGCTTTACAACGGGCAGCTATGGTTATTTCAAAAAGTAAAGACAGCTACGGTTATAGCTCCTATAATTTAAATCTGGTAGATGTGCTTGGTTAATGAACACTTTTTTGGTAATCGGAAATTCCTCGTCACGTTCTACCACCACGTCCTGTTGAAAGGGTACAGGTCCACAGATTTGGAGATGCGAGTCCTAAAGCATAGGGGGGCTGTGGTTTACTTGTGCACTGAGGGTATGCATGGAAATCGGACAGCAAATCTAGTTATATCGAAATTTTAAGTTGCTCCAGCGAAGAAAATGACATTGCCACATCTTGAATTGCTGGCTCTATACATTAAAGTGTTGATGTTAGCAATCAAGTTAATAATATCTATTTGTTAGCAATCAAGTTAATAATAGAAATTGCGACAATCTTGAATGATGGAATAACTGAAGTTCAAGAGTATCCGACAATTTTGACAAAGTATGAAACATGGCAAAGGACAATTCGAACATTAGCTTGGATCTTGAAATAGACTCAAAGAAATGTTACCCTCCGAAATGGCTTTTAACAGCTAATGAACTTTTTAAATACAGAAGATATGTTATTAACAGAAGATATGTTATTGAATATAATCAGCTGTCTAACAAAGAAGACATTTCGTGATCCAGCCCATTGTTAAACTTAGATCCGTTCTATGACAACACTGACACTGACAATTCTACGACAAGGGAAGTAAAAAGGACGAAGGAAGTAAAAAGGATACTCAACAAATGTCTCGTTTGTAAACAGGATGACAAAGCCACAAGAATAGAAAATGGCCCCATTACCAATGGAACGAGTCCAAGTTGTACCAGCGTATACCAATGTCAGTTTGGATTTTATGGGTCCTTAGTATCTCAAAATAAAACAAAAGACCAAACAGAAGACGGAGAGGATTAAATCGTATGTATATCTTTGTATGCAAAGACACTAGGGCAGTGCATTTCGATTTGACATTTAATACGACTACCATAGACTTTTTACAGCCATTCCATTGAATGGCAAATCGACGAGGACTTCCATGTGTTGTTATCCATTCAGACAATCAAACCACATTTCACAAGGCTGCTTGAGTATTTAAAGCGTCACAACAAAGATTAAAGTTAGCGCATATTGATCCAAGAGTTGTTGAAGAAAAATTAGCGCATGTTGATCCAAGAGTTGAAGAAAAATTAGCGAACAAAGGAATAGTTTGGAAGTTTATCATAGAACATGCTGGTCATCGCAGAGGACGATGGGAAAGAGTTTGCCGTCAACTCAAATAACCATTAAGAAAGGTTCTTGGAAAATCCTTACTAACATACACTGAAATGCTTACAGTTCTTACGGACATTGGAGCCATTATAAACTGTAGACCACTGACTTATATCGGTAATGATATCAGAGATGCCGTCCATGTACGGTAATGCCATACGGTAATGTCCTTACATCAGTTCCAGACAATATAGAAGAAAGGTCAAATATTACGCTAACCGATAAATATAGGTATTTACAAAGACTTCAAAATCACTTTTGGAACTGTTGGCTTAAAGAGTATCTTCCCCGATTAACCGTCTGACAGAAATGGATTAAGGAAAGACAAGCGTTGAAAGACAACAATGTTGTGCTTGTGACTGACGATAATATTCCAAGAGGAAAATGGATTTTGGGCAAAGTGGAAGATACGTTTCCTGGTGCAGATAGTTCGAACTGTCTCAAATTGTACAAAGGAATAACCAAACGTCCAGTTTAAAAACTTCATTTGCTAGAAGGACACAGAGACTTTACAACTAATAAACCTTAAATGAATGGTACATTCTGCATTTGGCTGGGGAGGATGTATGAACCCCGAAATTAAACACAGTGTGTCTTGACATTAGCGTAAATCATAATAAGCATAAATCATAAATGTAAATAGATTTTACAAAAGGCATGCACTATGATCATTTTTAGTTGTTGTTGTGAAATATACAGAGCGAAGTATAAGTATAACAATATTTTTTTTCTAATAAAATCTTTTGATCTTATCAGTGCCATACTTTGCATTTGATCTTGGTGAATGCTATTGAAAATTAGCCTAGAAATGAGTCATCTTTATTGTTAATTATTTAAAACAAGCCCGGATGTAATTATATAACAAAATGTAATGTTTTGGTAATTTATCCTACTTAATACAGACTAGAATTATTTACCTGATAGGGAAATTCTGAAATTTTGTTTTCGAGCTCACATACTTGTTTTGGCATATTTGCGCTATGATATGTGAATTGCATTGTCCATTACCGAAGACAATGTGCACTTTTTAATAGGAAAAGAAAATTTCGCTCAGAAATGTGGTAAGATTTCAAAAAGACAATTGGCAAACTGCTTATTTTTTCACGCATATAATGGGCTTTTTGGAGATTGCACCCCCGATATTGTCAACAACCACAAAACTTCAGTTTTATCAAAATGCCTGATGTTCAGCGTTTTCAACGATGTTCTGACAGCACCGGGCATGTTTGATAAAAGAATACAGTTCATGCTCTTTACCAAGGGAAAAAAGAAAATAATCGCACAAAGTTTGTTTCTTGTTATAAAATGTACTTTATTTTGGAAAATGAAAGTACAGATATAAATAAAATACAAACTAAAGCGTTAAATTTCTTATGTAAGTTCACTCATAAACTATTTTAAACTCAATGTAATAGTAAATTACAGTATTTATATTACGTTTTGTGATATAATTAAGAGTAAAGACTAGAGTACAGTATACACTATTAGAACTAGTGATGTACCCTATAACCCTAAAAATGTAAGTGGGGACATAGAGCCTGGGGCGGATCTTGGATTTTTCGTACACCTAAAAGTTTCAGTCAAGAAATTCCGGGGGGGGGGGTGCAGATGCAATGTGAAAGTGACTGTTTCGCCTAATGTCAGGGCTCATCAGCATGCCTAGGAAACACAGGATACTACAAAGATATCTTGTGATTCCGACATGGACAGGCATTTTCACATAAGACTGTTTTTAGGCACCAGCACCCGCCTCAAATCTTTGCGCTGGTGTAGAAATTGGTGAATTTAGTGGCAATGATGCTTTACATATTGTAATATATAGAAACTGATCATATGGAGAGTTTTAGCTTAGTCAAATTTAAAATGCTGAAAGATATTTGTTCAGTTGGTTGATGAGCACCAGCTCTAAAATTGTCGCCTGTCTCTGAGGAAAATGGTACGCTTACATGGATCCAATTTGGTATAGAGTTCTGGGTTGCTTTAAATGTGCAAACAACTTGGTTTGCTGTTGCTGTGTAGGGAATTCAAATTCCTGGGATTGAACTTCACTAGAAATTACTTTCTTAAGTGTATCTTCAAACTCAGGACTAGAACAGATACAATCAAGACCCTCATAATCAAAATCGACTCAATGTTTGTGTAAATTGATTACCCCAACATCCAGTTCTAATATATATTTGGAGATAGTAGGATAAGGACACAGGTGGACATTTGCTTTTTTAAGCTGCTAACTAGCTGCAATATATTCACACTGGGACAAGTGGGTTTTTCAAATTAAGAACTCAGATATTAAGCAGATTAAAATTGGAGTTGCTCCATAATAACATCTGGTCTCTGGAAGCTGAAAAATTCATAACCAGAAAACTTTTTCCTATAGTCCTTGATCTTTAAAAAATTAAACACATTCCTTACCGTAGTACATCTTGAGTTGTAGCCAACAATCTTACATGAGATCTCAAATGACTTTTCTTGTTAATTTATAGGAAGTCAAGTATTGTAACCTGGTCGAAGGAGTCACATTTTTGCCTGAGCCATATATGACTACAAAGTTCTATTTGTTTTATCACATGGAGGGTACTTCCCCACCGACCGAATCCCAGCCAATTAACTGTCCAGTTTGTGCAACAATATTTATGGTGACGTTATCACAGCTACAAGCTTCGTTTTCAGTATTATTAGAAACCTGATTAACACTAAGCCTGGTAATTTCCTTCCTTAAAAATCAAAAAAACATTGGGCTTGAATAAAAAATTTATACGCAAGTTATAAATTTGCGGTTAATGGAGTAATATGTTCTAGAAGGTCCTATTTCACCCTACATATGGACCATCTCTGGCCTAGCTGTCATAGTTATCGCATGCACTAATTTTAGCCCGGGCAAGGTCAAGGCCTCAATAGAACAAGGCAGTCTTTACCAGGCATGTTAATAGTTATAAAGTCCAAAATCTGAACGAACTCTGGCATCTTAGCATGTGAACAACGTATGCAAACTTGTGTTACGGCCAATCGAATCTCCCCTGACGGTCTTTCCCTTCACGTGGACTTGAACAATGGCCCCCTTTTTTCTGCAAGGATTTTGCCTGCTCCCCATGCATGCATTGGTCATTCGCAAGACCTCAGCCAATGCGTCCACAACGCCGGTCAAATATTTAAAGGTCTCTATCGAAAGGCAGTAATACATATATCTGCGTTTCAAAAGTAACTATAAACAAAAACTACAATGCCGAAGCAAGCTAAAAAGCGCCGTTCAACTCGTACTCGTCCATCGCGTCAAAACGAACAAACTGTGGCGGAAACCAATGGCGAGACGTCGAACGCGGCCAACCACACCAGCGAACAGCCGCTTGGTTCTGCCACGAACTACGCCGACATGTCCACCGAAGTCCTCCATCTTCTCTTGGCCCAGCGAAACCTCTCTCTTTCTGGTTCGCGTGACGTTCTTTTACGCCGCCTTGCTGATCACGACAGAACGGCAAATTCTCCAGCCTTAACACCAGCTCTACCACCACGTGATCCGACTCCCAGTACGCCTCAATTTTCCGCTGAATCTCTCCGCTCGTTGGCAGTTAACCTCGCACCGTTGCTCCGCGACGTTTTGGCCCGCGACACGCCACCATCGCCTCAACCACCGCTTCCACAACCATCGCCAGCAGCGAGCCTTATCGCGCAGTCCGCGCCAACACCCTCTTTCGATCTGGGTAATCCTTCCAGCGTTGCCACTTTAATCTCGTCTTCGCCAGTTTACTCGTCATCCACCTCATTACCGTCAGAGACTCCCAGTCTGCCTAAGAAAGTCGAGGAACAGATCGTTAACGGTGAGTTTGTCGATTTCTCTTTGCTTCTCCCGGGTAATTCAGACCGCCCCTCTTTCGGTCCAATTCGCCTGTCAGTCGAAGGTGATCAGGGCTATTCGATACCTCTTCCGAATTTCTCAAATTTCGGCAAGCGTCCAAAAATCGACAGTCTTGATAAGTGGCTAACAGCCTTCGGTGTTTACGCTTCGGTTGTTGTCGCTAAATTTCCGCACAAAGCTTCGCAGCTGTTTGCCTACCAGCGCATAATCCGAGAGGCTTCACAAAAGTTTAAAGGTTTGGCTTGGTATGCGTACGACATAGATTTTCGCAAGCTCGCCGCGAAACATCCAGCGCTCAATTGGGGCGAACGTCATCTCCAGCTGTGGCTAGATAAGTTCACAGGTCTCGCGCGCACTATCTGCTTTGTCTGTGGCGGCGCCGATCACATGTCTGATGTTTGCCCTCTTTCCTCATCAAGGTCCGAAGGCGGCCGGTCAAGCAATTTCCCCAACCGAGGATTCTGCCGCAATTTTAACGGGGGCCTCCCGTGCTCAGCAAACCCATGTTCCTTCGAACATCGGTGTAATCGATCCGGCTGTGGCGGACGGCATGCGGCATATGAACACGCTGACACCAGCTCTGCGAGAACTGATGACACTCCGCGTCGCAGAAAACACAAGTAAAGAGTTTGTTGATAGATTAAAACCAGTTACACCAATTAACGTTAATCTCCTGGAGTCCATGCTAACTAACCACCCAGATCGCGAATTTGTTGTTGCCCTCTGTTCGGGTTTAAGGGCGGGTTTTAAAATTGGGTATAAGGGGCCCCGTCACCCCTTCGTTTCACCTAATCTTAAAACGGCCCTTATGTCGCCGGAAATAGTGGATGAAAACCTGCTCAACGAAGTCAAACAAGGCCACACAGTTGGCCCCTTCACTAGCCCTCCATTTACAAACTTCCAAGTCTACCCCTTGGGCCTTGTCCCTAAGAAGAACTCATCCAAATGGAGAACCATTTTTCACCTTTCCTATCCAAAATCATCAACCACTAGCGTTAATGCTAATATTTCATCCGAAGATTACTCTTTACAGTACGTCCGAATTGACGACGCTATGAGAATCCTTCTTGAACTAGGCCCGAACTGTTTCATGGCCAAAACCGATGTTCAATCCGCGTTCCGTAATATCCCAGTTCACCCCGATGACTGGGAACTCCTAGGCATGAAATGGCGGGGACTGTATTTTTTCGATCGTGTTCTTCCCTTCGGCCTTCGCAGTGCACCGTACATTTTTAACATGCTTTCGGATGCCCTCGAATGGATTCTCCTACACAAATTAGGTATTCCAAATGTTCTCCATATTTTGGACGATTTCTTTATCGCTGAGGCTGCCCCCCGTCCTTTATGCCTGACTTCACTGTGTAAGTTGTTGTGTTTGTTCACTGAACTGAATGTCCCCATAGCACCTGGAAAAACTTTTGCTCCTACCCAAACCTTAGAATTTCTTGGGATTACTCTTGATTCCATCCACATGCTGGCTCTCCTGCCCGAGGATAAATTAAGTCAGGCTAGGACCCTTCTTGCGCAATGGCAAAACGCTCTTGCTGTAAGTTAAAGGAGCTTCAATCTCTTATTGGGATCCTTCAGTTTGCATGCCGAGTCATTGCCCCAGGACGCACATTCCTCCGACGCATGATTGCCCTTACATGTGGTATTAAACAGCCCTATCATTTTGTGAAGTTGAACACGGGTTTTTATAAGGATTTAGCTATGTGGGAAGTTTTTCTCAAACACTGGAATGGTATTAGTCTTTTTCTTGAGCTCGGGCAGACCCCCTCGCCCTCACTTGAATTATTTACCGATGCAGCAGGTTCCATCGGTTTTGGTGGATACTTAGCAGGACAATGGTTTCAGGGCCGGTGGCTACCCAGCCAAAATATCGCTAACAAAACTGGTATTTCGATCGCATGGCAAGAGCTTTACCCAATTTATCTTGCATGTTGTCTCTGGGGTGCCCAATGGGCAACAAAACGCATTGTGTTTTTCTGTGACAACGAGTCCGTTGTCCAAATTCTCAATCAGAAGACGTCAAAATGTCCGAAGATAATGGACTTACTCCGACCGATTGTTCTTTGTACTTTGCAAAACAACTTACATTTACGGCCAGGCATGTACGCGGACTTGACAATGGCATTGCTGACTCGCTCTCTCGTTTTCAGATGGACCGCTTCAAACAATTAGCGCCGCTGGCCTCTCCTCTGCCTTGCGTCATCCCAGTATCCATGATTCAAACTTAAAGAACCGTGTTTATGAACTTATTCAGCATTCATGGGCACCATCAACCAAACAAACCTACGCCGCCGGCATAAAACAATTCATTTCATTCTGCCTTGCAAAAGGTATCGTGACACCCTGTTCACCTTTACTGCCTGCGACTGAACTTACCCTGCTCTACTTCGTCGGCCATCTATCCAAATCTGTTTCATATTCAACTGTTAAAACATACTTAGCTAGCGTGTCTTACCTCCACGTAAATTTTCAAATCCCATTCGACATGGGGAGCATGCAACTATTAGAAAAAAGTCTGAAAGGTCTGAAGCGCCTCAAGGGTGAAAAATTGCGGGATCGACGGCCTATCACTGTGACCGAACTCGAGTCCCTTCATTCTGCCCTACGACCTCAGTTTACAGACTGTTTAGACAATGTGATGCTTTGGGCCGCCTTCACTCTGGCCTTTTTTGGCTTCCTGCGCTGTAGTGAATTAACGTGTAATTCTCCATTCGATCCCGAGTGCCACCTATCCCGCAATGACATTATTTTCCACCCAAATATCCTCCACGCAGAATATTACGATGTCTTGATCAAGCGTTCCAAAACCGACCCTTTTCGTCGTGGATGCCGTTTGACAATCGGCTCATCGCGTAATAAACTCTGCCCGGTTCGAGCTATGAAAACATATCTACTCCAGTCATCGTCTGGCCAAACCCCTCGTCCACTGTTCCAATTTACATCAGGTGTCCCACTTACACGTGTAACCCTAACATCGCATCTACGTCATCTACTTCAAGGGCAAGGACTGGCCGAAAACCTCTACGCCTCTCATAGTTTCAGGATCGGATCTGCTACAGCTGCGGGCTCAGCCGGCCTACCCTCCTGGCTCATCAAAACGCTAGGACGTTGGTCTTCAGACTGTTACGAGAGATACATTAGAACTCCAAAGGACGTCTTAGCTTCCGTTCCATACACTAACTAACTGCAAGTACCAAACATTAAAAATTTTGTTTTAATATCTACCTTTTAAACTCAATCACTATGCTTCCTTGCTGTATAGTCCGTATAACACCAGTCCCCTATTTGTGTGTATGTGGATAGTCCGTATAACACCAGTCCCCTATTTGTGTGTATGTGGATCCTTCCTGCAAACTCATAGCCTGCCGTATGTTTTGTTCTGTCATGCTACCACGGCAACTGCACGATATCTTCGAATCTGTTTGTTCAAGGACCCACATACACACAATTGCCGGCCACCTTTGCAAGATTGTGTCTTAAGGACATTTTAGGGTGGCCCTCTCTGCTGTCGAAAGACAGGACTCTAATTCGGCTACTTCCCGTGGCGGAAATGGCGGTTTGCACTTTGTGCAGACCGCCATTAATGGCAGGAAGTGCTGTCCTTCTGGACAACACCTCACCACGTGAAGTGCATTTGTACAGGTCATTTTGGTCGAAAACGCGACCTGATGACCTGACCTAGAGACTCAATGGGTCAGTCAGACAATATTTGAGTCGAGCTGACTGACCTGAACAGGGGTCCGCCTGTTCCCCTGTTATCTAGAGGTCCGCCTGTTCCTCTAGAAAAACCTATAGTTTTTGCATGCTCTGTCGGGTTTTGAGTGCCCTTACTGTCTCAGTATAACTAATGGTGGTCCCTAGATCATCAGGTCTCAACTCACTGAACAACATGCACAGAGCTGGCTCACACCCTCTGCAACTTAGAGGTCCTCCTGTTCCTCTAGGAAAAACTTAGGTTAATTAGAGCCTCTAGACCTTTTTTCGAGCACTTCCTGCCCAAATTATATGCCACAAAAATGTCTCATTGTGTTGTTCCTTTGCTAAGTTGCCAGACGTTCAAAATCCTTATAAAAAATCTCAACATATAAACTACATTAACCATTGTTTATTTGTGTGTACTCCAAGTTCTTTTACCACACTGTTTGCTGCCTGTGTTGGTGTTGTAGCAATTATATTGACTAAATTCTGCTCACAAGTACACTTGAAAATAGGCACAAGCTGTGGCTTTATTACCTTCCAAAATAATTGGCAGAAATCACCAATTGTAAGGGTACAGATCTTTCTGATTTAAAGCCAATCTGTATTAAATAATCTTGTCCTTTCAAACTCCAAACCAGCGGCTATTCTTGTTGTGATCAACAATGACTTCACCAAGTGAAACCAATATATCCTGTTTGGTCTGCAATTCAAATTTTAATATGTTGGTGAATATACATTGAAAAGAAACGTTTTTAAAGTGTTTCTAGGTTGCTTTAGAGACAGATGCAGATCTCTTTTGCGCCCTAAAACCCTCACAGTAGATTCTTTTGAGAGAATTTTGAAAAGGCGGACCTAATTTTATTGAAAAAACGTGAGTTTAATACCTACCGGAAGCTAGAAAAATTTTGATTCTTGTCTACAATTTTAAGGGTTGAGACTGAGCTAATTTTGGCTTGTTCTCAACATAAATTTATGCTGCCTTTAAAGTTTGCCAGCTGGCCCAACCATCTTAGTTCTATTCAGATGAACTGCAAAACTTGACTCAGATTAAAGAAATGTTAATTGCTTGCACCAGGGCGGTCGGGTGCTTCACCCCCCAATAATTATCATACGTCCCGTTTATTCGGCAAATTCGTCATTACACTTCCTTCAGTCAGCAGGCAGCAAGTTGCCATTTTAAAACTCAAATTTCTCAACTTATTTTAACAAAACGTTAATCTTGTAAAATTTCTGTGTAGCTAGTTGTTGAAGATAAGGGCTGAAGATAATTGACTCTGTGGCGGATTTGTTATCCACACACTGGGCGGATACGTTTGACATTTCTCATTGCCGACATAAAATTAATAACCCCTGGCAACTGTCCAGTGACGTCTCATGTTCTGTCTTTTTCATTCTACTGTTCTCTGTGACTGATCTGGTGGTGTTCTATGTCTCTGTTTGACTGTATCATGCACGGTTCAAAACGAAAACGAATAAAACTTCAGTGTCTTGAATGCAATGCAACTTTTGACGATGACTATCACAATAAACATGAGCAATTGCAACATAAAGGAAAACAGGTCCAAGGAGCACATAAAGACGCACCAGCGAATCCGTTCGAAGCTGCAAAGGTGCGCAGTAAAAGTCAAACATATGTTCTGTCAAAAGTGCCTGAACCAAAAGTCCAAGATATAGGCGAAATTGGTAAGTGTTTTCACAGTAAACGTTTTAAAACGTGTGGCAATATACTTTTTATTGAATTGTTGAGGTTAGACATGTAGTTTGTAATGGTCTCTTATTTCTGACTCTGTTACACATGCGATAACATCATGGGCCAGCTGGCCCTTACTAGCAATGGCACTTATTATCACAAAAATCCACTTCGTTAGTTGTATTTAAGTATTGACAAAAGAATTATGTTTAGTGGCAATAAAAGAACCTGCATCCAAAAACCCAGAACTGATGTTGGACACAGCTCTTGAGGCCATCATCATAGAAAATCCCAATCAAAGTCAATCAGCAGATTCGTGTTGTTCTGTCTCAGAGTCAAAGAATGCAGATTTTGATAGTTCTCCTGTCTTTTCGTCAACCGTCACCCAAACTACAGATGCTCACTCGCAAATCTCTCAGTTCCCCACCCAAGATATTCCTGAAGATTCGATTAGTGTAGATCCTGGAAATGTAGATCAAGACCCAGAATTGAACCAGAAGTCATATTGGAATGACTGGATGGAATCTATTGTAACCTTGTCCTCTATTGCCAGCTATGCTAAGCAATGTATGTGACACATTCGTGCATGATGCGTGAGAATCCGACATAGAGCAATGGGTCGAGCGCACCAACAGCATTATTACGTTGATACAAGAAACCTGCCATAAATTCGCTGAAAAGTCGAAAGCGATTCTCCATTGATATCAAACGATCAAAGCTCAAAGTTGACGACCTTGGTTTGCCTGAAGTCTCAGTTGAACATGATCCAGGCCTACGAGGTGAGGTATGCAATGAGAACCAACGAGAGTACCCCATCTAACTCGGACCATTTCAGCCTAAGTTACCCTCTTACCCTGTTAGTCAAGAAATTTTTCAAGGCAAACAAAATAGTTTTTCATCCAGATGGTATAAGAAATATCCACATCTGGAGTACAGCCTTGCAAAAGATGCTGCTTTCTGTTTTGTGTGTTCATTATTTAATGAAATACCTTCAAAAGAGAAGGCAGACCCTAGTTGGAGGACAACAGGCGTTAGGAAATGGCACAAGATGAAAAGCGTTGGGAAGGCCAAACCTGGAAAACTGGTTCAACACTTCTCCTCACAAAGTCATAAAGCTTCTCTGGGTGCTTATTGTCACTTCCTGCAGAAAACAAAGCATATCGACGCCCAACTAAATAAAAAATACGCGAAGCCCAAATTCAAGAATCACAAGACATGGAATATAATCGTCAAATTATCACCATCCTTGATGTCGTGAAGACATTTGCTCGCCAAGCTCTTTCCTTCAGAGGTGACAGCAATGAAGATGGGAATTTTATGCAAGTGGTCTTTTTGTTAAGCACGAATGTACCAAACTCAAAGCGGTGGATATGTGACTAAAGGCTGAATCCATATCGCGCAATCTATCTAAGCCCTCAGTCACAGAACAAATTTATCTCGTTGCTTGAGAAGGAACTGCGTGTGAGAGTTGTCAAAGATGTCAAATGTGCAGACATGTTTTCTGTTATGGCAAACACTACACCTGAAGAAGAACACACAGATAGGCTCTCGGTTGTTCTAAGATATGTCAGTCCGAATGGAGAAGCAAGAGAGAGATTACTGGATGTGACAAAGACGGAGGACCAGACAGGTCATGGGCAAGCACAAGGTATCATTTCTACGATAAAGCAGTCTGGTTTGAACACCAATAGTCTGTGCTTTCAATCGTATGATTTCGCTGCCGCAATGTCCGAGAAATTGTCAGGTGAATTTGTCCGATCTTGTTGGATGTGAGATCCATATA